TTTCTTTCTGTGTCTTACCCTCTTGCTTGAGGGTGTCAATGATGGCCTTCTGGACAGCAGTCAGATCGGCAGTCTTACCCATGATTGCGGTTTTGAGTAATGAACAAGGCTGGGAGTTTTTAAAAGCCTCAGGAATCTTTTGCAGGTGTTTAGTTATGTCATTGATTCAGATGGTTAGGTTAATAGCTTGTTTAGATAACCTTTTCATGATATGCTAATTTTTTGGGACAGGCATTTTGGGTTTTCATGAGCTGTATGCCATAATCATCAGTAATAAAACAATTAAAGACCTGAAATATTTCAGTTGGGGTGCAATGAATCTGAAATATATGAAAGTTTCATTTTTATCATTACATTATGGAAAATAATGACCTTTATCACAATATGCTAATTTTTTGAGAAGGACCTGTATAAGTACAGTCCATTTACCATTTACCATTCACTGAGTAAGTCTTTCGGATGAGAGACGAAACATTTCTACATTTTTTTGCTTTGGTTTTTTTTTTTTTTTTTTTTTGAATGTCCAGAGGACCAGATTGAACTTTTTTGGATTTTTCTACCTGGATTATTGAGCATGCATCAGGATAAGATAGAGCTAGGTTGTTGAGAGCTTTGTAGGTTAGAAGTAGGATTTTGAATTCTATTCTGGATTTGACAGGGAGCAAATGGAGAGAAGATATGATCTATCCTACTAACTCCAGTTAAGACTCTGGCAGCAGCATTTTGGATCAACTGAAAATGTTTTAAAGAAGTATTTGGACACCCAGATAACAAACCATTGCAATAGTCCAGTCTAGATGTGACAAATGCATGAACCAGTTTTTCTGCATCATTTTTAGATAAGATGTTTCTAATTTTAGCGATATTACACAGGTGGAAGAAGGCAGTTATAGTAACGTTTTTAATGTGGGGGATAAAAGACATGTCCTGATCAAAAATAACACCAAGATTTTTAACATTTGAGCTAGAGGCCAGATTAATGCCATCCAAGTAGGGTGAAAGACTGAAAACTTAAATCTTAAAATGCTCAGATCCAAAAACTAAAAACTCAGTCATGCCTGTGTTCAAAAGCGGAAAATTTAGGGTCATCCAGGTGTTTATGTCTTTAAAACATGCTTGTCTCTTAAGTAACTGACTGGATTCATTGAGTTTCATGGACAAATATAATTGTGTATCATCAGCATAACAATGAAAATTTATCCCATGTTCCAACATTTTTCAGTCAGGTCATCTGGACAGTTTCTTTTTTTGTGCTGAAACGTTTCGCCTTCGATCCGGAAGGCTTCATCAGTCAAGGAAACACACAACAAAACTGATTCTTCCCCCAACAGCTTACTCCAAAGTGGAACAAACCAGTTCTGCTTGTGATACGATGGTCTCTTTGGTATGCCCCTCCTCCATTGCCGGCCCTTTTCCTTGTTGACAGTCTTGTCAAACTGGTTGAAAACAACAAAGTCCATGCTCAATAATCCAGGTATAATATCCAACATTTTTCAGTCAGGTCAACTGGACGTGAGAGACGTTTTTTTGTGTAACGCGCACTGTCCACAGGGCATTTATTTATTCCGTTGAATAAATGATCGTTTCTGTTTCTGGGTCTGAGAGGAGGAGAGGGGTGTTTTTCAGTGCGCAGCCGCTGAGTAGGGACAATATTTGGAGAGGAGGAGGAGAGAAGGACTCTGAGCAGAACCTCTTTGCGTAAGACCATCTGTCCCTCGTCCTCACCCCCTGCCTAGAGGCTCCTCTCCTGCTTCTCAAAAGAGCATGTAGGTGGTTCGCCGCGCGTGTTGCGGCTGAAACATCCACTCCACAGACTGGGTCCACCGGACTAAGGGCAATGTCCCTTCTCATTGTACTTTTAATAAATAATCAAAATAAAAATGCACAATGACTTTGGACTTTTAAGGGTGGAGTTGACAGATCCGAATAGAGTTGCCAGAACAGAACGGGTCAAAATGAGAGAGTTCCCAGATCTTGTTCTGGCAGGATCTGTCTCAAATTAACCACTGGATATAGGTCTATAATTGGCTAGGATTCCTGAGTGAAGGTTATGTTTCTTATGTAAAGGTTTAATTACAGCAATCTTAGAGCTCTGTGGTACGTAACCGTTTATTAGAGACAAATTAGTAGATCCAAGATGTGGTTATTAATTAAGGTAAATAGCCTGGTTGGGATGGGATCTAGCAGACATGTGGATGGTTTGGATGAAGTTATTTTTGACAATTGAAAGAGCTCAACATGACAAAAACAATCCAAACATAAATCAGGTTTTAGTGACATTTTTAAAGTTGTCTCATCTGACACAGAACCAGACGCGAGACTAGAAATGTAGGTTTGATTTTTTTCCCAAATTGAAACAATTTTATTTATAAAGAATCTCATGAAGTCATAAGTGCTTATAGTTGTAGGGATACATGAATCAACAGCGATAGGATTTTTCATTAGACTAGCTATGGTACTGACAAGGAACCTGGGGTTATTTTTATTTTCATCATTTAAAGATGAATAATATAAAGTTCTTGCTTTACAGAGTGCTTTTTTGTACGTTATGTAGTGAACTAAGCCTCAGGTCAAAACCTGACCCTGAAGACCTTCATGGGACAGAAACTGTTATTTCATTGATTTGAATCCAGAAATACAAATAAGCTCATCCAAAGACTTTCTAATTTGTATCCTGAACTAATCTATTGAAAGAACACTCTCTTTTATATTGTCATTACTATTTTTACAAATGTCTTGATAATCAAAAGATGTTTAGTTCAAATCATTTTAAATGTTGAAGTGAACTACTC